TGCCGTTGGAACGAATCGTTTGAATGAACGACTCAATGACTCACTCATTAAATGCTCACTACTGGCACCTACTGGCGTTTTAATTTCGTTGAAAAGTATCATTTCCACCATCATTTCTTGTTTGTATATTCAAAAATATTTAAAATAATCTCATAATATTATTTAATGCAGTTGCATTTTTCAGTGTAAATGATTTAATTTGATAACGTATAGATAATCACATTATTATAATTGAATTTATAGATCAAATGAAAGTAATTTGAAATTAAAGTATTAATGAGATTAGTGGGAAAATGCCCTCTATATAGGTAAAAAAAAAATGCCATTGGATAAAATATAAAAAAAACATGCAGATTTATGTCATAGCTGATAGAAAACTGATGAGAATATTGCTTCCGAATAAATAATATTTGCAAAAAAACAACACACACACACACACACATATATATATATATATATATATATATATGCTCGATACCATAGAGCCGCCTCACATAACAAATCCCAATTTAACCCCTGACCGTCAGTATAAGAGTGAGAGTCCTGCCCCCTTGAGTTTTCAGAGACGCACCTCAGGACACCGATACCTGAAACCCACCGGGCTGCTGTTAATATTTGATGCTGTTCAGCTGAGTACAGCACACGCTCCATCTGTCCTCGGGACAAACACTCAGATTAAATCACCTTCAGCAGAAGGGGAGCGCGGGCGGCTCTTGTGCCCTTGTTTTTGTTTTGATTGATTTGGTTGTAATTTCGGTAAAAAGTCTTCCTCACCGTCTCTCCTCTGTTCGGCTTGTTGGGAACCTAATTATACCACAAAACATGTTGCTAAGCAACCAATAGCAGGGCACTATAAGGCAAAACTGAATGAACAGGTTTATCAGGGATAAATAAAGCTTTTACAAATGATTAAAGTCACTGAAGCAGAAGTGAGGATTCTCCCCAGAATAATCTACTGATTAAATGTTTTTATACTGTAGATCATCACTGTAACTCTACTCTCTTTTAATGTTTATGAAAAAACAAAAATAAACCATGGCAAATGGCAATACTAACCATTTTTTGTACCAGGATGTAGTACAATACCATTTAAATACTTTGTGAATTCAGTTATAAAATTAGATGAAAATAATATATATTTTTTATATTATACAAATTATTTAAAAATATTTATAAAAACTTTTGACATCAGGGTTTGGTATGGTTTCATTTACGTTACTGAAGGTAATTAACAACAGAGCCTAAACTTAATTTAATTACTATTTATTTTTAAACATAATAATCAACACTCAACTTTTTAAAAAACAACTATGCAAACATAAGCATAATGCAGTTTTTAAATTACCTTCTAAATGATCAAATTTCGATTTGTTGTTGAAATATATTCATTTACACAGTGGTTGTCATAACTTGTTTCATAACAGATTTAATTAAACATACATTAAATAAGACATCACTAACAGGTCAAATATAATGAGAATATACTCTAATATTTCACGAAAAGCTCTTCTCTGTACTTTATTTCTCTAGCAAATAATGAGCTGTGGACACTGATGACTTGCCTGAGGTAGGCTTCTATACAGTAATCAAAGAGCGTCAAAACGGCATTTATTGTTTGAATTTCCTGAAAAAAAAATGGACATAATTTGAAAGATGACACTTTATTTCTTAACAAAAGTTACAATATATAAAACTGTGAGTTTCCAGTGAAGTTCCACTCATGCAGTGGTTAATTTGTGTACTCATGCAGTGTATTTTTTCGGTACACATGCGTACTGAAAACCTTTTATTTGTCAATAAACATAAGAATCATTGAATAAAAACTGTGTGTGTGTGTGTTGGAGTAATAAATCCAACATATACAATTTAAAAGTTGTCGCCATTACCATGATAATACCATGTTTTTGGATACTGCAATGAAATTGGCGTGCCACCATGGTATTAGTTTCATTGTAGTATCCAAAAAACATGGTATTACTATTGTAACATGTCCAGTATATCCGGTTTATGAATATTTTGAAAAACATAGTCAAATCAGGTCAATAAAATGTTTTGTTGTTGTACAAAAACTTTTACAGTTGCTTGTTTTAAAATCATAACCTTTGCTATATTAAAACTCTGCGCAGGTAAATGGAATGAACATTGAACGCATGAGACACGCTGAAGTTGTTGCCTTCATCAAGAAGGGCGGGAATGAGACGCGCTTACTAGTGGTGGATCCGGACACAGATGAGCATTTCAAAAAGATGGCCATCACTCCCACCAGCATCCATGTCAAAGGTAGACTTTACTGAGGAGAGTTACCCAAAAATCACAGTTCACGAGACAATACAAGCAGCAAGTAGTTCAGATTTGCTATCTAGAATACATCGCCCTATGTGAGTATAAAGTCCAGTATCCAATTTTGATTATCATTTTATTTAGTCAGAACACGTCTACTTTTGAATGATCATCAATAACGAAAGATGATGTTGAGCCCAGATGAGTTAGTTTTGCTATATTGCGTACTGAGCCTTGGTTTCCTCTTCCTGGGATTTGAGGGGGAGTTTGACGTTTTTCCGTGCTAACGGTGCTTTTGAGGTTTCGAGACAGACTGATGTTGGGTTTCCTCTCAAGGCTCTATACAGAGGTGTGAAACCCCGGGCTGGAGTAAATCCATGTTCTCTGAGTCTCGTCCACGTCTGTTATCCAGCAGCTCCTGCCATGTGGCTCAGATTAGAGTTAAATTGAGGTCAACACCTTAAACAGGCTATTGACATCTCTTAGATAATTGATACTTGGCAGGATCCTGATTTAGCCCACTGGAAGGTCATTCCAGCCCAGTCCACTGGCTTTCTATTCGTTTTCATGCAGTTCATTCTGGATGAGTAAATCTTCTGCGTCAGGTCTGTGAACATCAGGTTGATCAGGCCACAGATGCGTGCTGCTTTTATCCCACAGCTCAGCTTTCTTTCTCAAGAGCCCGCTCAAGGTTTCCAGCTGTAGCAATGGTCTTCTCAAGGAAGTTTAGCATCTATGAATATACAGGGTCATCATGTACATTATATTGATAAACCTACAATGGACTATGGCTGTTTTTCTATTCAACATCAGCCACAATGTTCTCTGATCTTGATCTCAATGAATGAACAGTTGTTCTTCTCATTAAAACAGATTTTGACGAGTCCGTAACTAACGGCTCCCACAGCCCACATGTGAACGGGACGTCCTCACGATCCACATACTCAGACGGCAGCAGTCAGGACACCAACACACAGGTGAACAAAAGAACGCAAATGCATCTGCAATAATATATTTATATTTTATATTTATTGCACATTCATGCATTAAGTCAAAAAATTAATTTAATTAGTTAAAACACATTTTAAGGGTCAGGTAATTTAAAAAAAGCTTTATTATATTGAAGATTATAACTGCACAATATATTTCTATTTTATATTTATGGCAGATTCATGCATATATATAGATATATATATATATATATATATATATATATTAGACTTGTGCGAAGAAACAGGTCTATGTCTGAGCCCCACGGCGGCGGAGGCTAAAGAGAAAGCCCACGCCAAGCGCACCAGAAAGAGAGCGCCCCAGATGGACTGGAACAAGAAGCATGAGATTTTTAGCAATTTCTGAGTCTTCTTCCCAGAGACACGCCCCCCACGTGTGTTGCATTCAGAGCCCCGGACACGTGACTGCTTTTGATGAAAAAGAGGCACCTATTTTTGTAGAAAATGAAAACTTGAAGCATAAAAAGTTGAAAAACACACCCAGAGGGGATGATATGAGTTACGCAATAGGATTTCTGTCTTATGAATGGCTAAGAAAGTCACAAATCGATGGTCTTGCTGCTCGTATCTGCGTCATTTTGTGTTCATGCTGTTTATTCAATATAGCACATTGACAATAACGTACAAAATGGAGTACAAACGCCAAATGAGACTATAATACAGAACAGCATATATAGACTGTGCTTTTGCAGAACTCGACTGAACAAAATAATGTTATTCGATTCAGGACCAAATGAATGAAGCTCCTTTAATGTCGTACATGTTATATGTGAATCATCTGAAGAATTAGAATTGTTCTTTTGCCAAAGACACAACCTATTATCGACCTGATCCACTGATGTCTTATGAGTTTCAGTTGTTTTGAAGGGATGTACGTTTCACTGTTGGACATCGAGTTTCTAGGAATTACTGAGATTTCAAAAAAGGACAAACTGGAGTGACCCAGAAATGAGAATCTGCACTTCTTCAACTCTAGAGGACGCTGTTTATCCACACTTGGGCTTCATTATGAACAAAGCAGAACATGTTGAACCACCAGAGGGAGCATCGCAACACGTGCTGCTTTCTTACAGCTCAGTTGACTGCAAGAGAAGCGAAACTTCTGCATCGAACAAGTGCAAAGTTGCAAGATAGGCCACAAAGAGTCATTGTGTATTTATAGTGTAGTGTCTACTGGTGCATTCTGGGATGTGGATACCGACAGACAGGTGGCATGCAAGAAGTCACAATCACGCAAAGCCGAATCGGTTCAGGAAGCAAAACGAATCTAAAGTAATATACCTCGTAAAACAATAAAGAGTAACGCATGCCTTATCTATAGAGGAATGAGTTTGAGGAACAGACAGTATTGATGCTGTGACTCATCTCTGGGTTGTCATAACTGATTCTGGATACAAGATTCCCACCTTTATTCATTTGAATTGTAGTAACGCAGACAATCGCGCGCTATATGCATTTACAGCACACATATTGTGATATATAACATCAGCATTACTATTATTCATCTTAATAATTCATGATACGTTCCATGTTTGCAATTTAGTATTAATGTAGTCAAGTAGTTTCTGTTTTTTCTCTTCTGTTGCTCCCCTACGCTGATATTAATGGGAAATCATTTCCTGTCCGAAATATTCCTATTAGTATTATTTTTTTCAATAAAGTGTGACAATCACATTCCGAATGAGATTGACGTGTTCATTTGAATGCATTCATCAGCAGAAAGTTCCACTGAGCAGCACTTTCTTTTATTTGTTAAGTAGGTTGTGTTTTATTTATATATAATTGTTGTAAAGCTAGGCAAATGTTTTATCAAATTTAATAAACGACAAATCTATCAAATTGTACTATAGGCTGGTCACTATACATTTGGTAATAAATGATTAAATATATTAAAACATATAGACGTTTTTAAATTCTGAACATCACTTTTGCTGTCATTATTATATTAATAACTGTATTTGTTAATATTTTATCAATTAAATATTTACTAATATTTATTAACAATATTTTTACCCATTTTGTATTTAAATTTCACTGATAAAAATAGAATGTTTATTGTGATCTGTTAATGGGCAAAGCAGATGTGCCAATAACAAGCTTATTATTATGCTATTTATAAATTAAATAGTAATTCTAATATGTAGTTGGCAAGTTTTCATTAAAAGAAATGTATATATATATATTATTTTATTATATATTTATTATATACATTTTTATGTGAAGTATTGTAGTTGTATTTATTGATATACAGTATATTAAAAAAAAAATATATATATATATTCCTTTTTTCATTCAAAGAAATTTATATATATATATTAAGTATTTTATTATATATTTATGATATACATTTTTATGTGAAGTATTGTAGTTGTATTTATTGATATACAGTATATTAAAAAAAAAATATATATATATATATTCCTTACCTATATTCTAATCTTTGCTTGCAGCGCTTGCAATATGAGAAAAAAAAAATGTCATAAATGTGTGGTATATTTTCCTCTGAGTGCTGCTTGTCCATGGAAAGGTCCGTGATGCTTTTCCGTTGCTAAGGTGTTCTGACTTTTTGTTGTGTTGCATCGCAGTTGCTAGGGTTTTGTGTTGGGTTGCTAGGTGGTTCCTTACTGGCCTAAATCAAAAGATCCCACCTCCAAGTCTCCAGAATATTCTGCTCCTTACATATGTGTCCATCAGTGCTATGGGATTTATCATGGGCCAGGTGGAAACTGTAAGTCAGATCACTCTGAAAAAATAATAACCCACCTCATTTCAACAAGACACGATTTGAGCAATCATTCATGTAGCACAAACACTCAGTTTAATTTCCTAACCACAAGTATGAGCAATAGTAATAATGATGCTTGTATAACACCACTAATAATATAATCCATAATGATTCACTCAAATCTCGCACTTTGTTGATTAGGTTACAGTCATTTCTGTTCTCATTTTTTCCCCCTTCTTATGTCTACATGGTTCGATCGCTGTCAGATCTGTCAATTTTTCTCACCATATGTCATACAAACCCCACAAATACTCCTCCATTCATTTTCATTGACACTTTTCACGCAGCTTCTAGACGTTCACTCATTGTGAGACACTATAGGCGTAAGCAAACGTGTCCGACCACGACCCGATGACACCCTATGAGCAATAAATGATATTTGAGCGGATCTTTCAGTCTTTAGATTAGAGACAGGAGTGTCTGTTTGCACTGAGGAAACCTGAGCAATATAATCACATAAGAAAATAAAAATAACTGATCTCATAGTGGACTGTGCAGACAATCTGATAACAAAACAATAATCCTTCTGTTGCTCTTTTAAAATTTAGCATGCAATGAAAAGAGGATCAGTGCATGTGCCTGACAGGGTTTGTGTGTCTTTTGCTGAACAAAATAATTAGCTCATAATCTCTGAAAGCACTTTAAACTGAGAACCGTAAAAATGCAGTTTACAGTCATGAATGTAATGCATCACAGGAACATGTTTAACTCTCTGCTAGAACAGCATAAATCTTCATAAGAAACCTTCGAAATGTGTTCGGACGCATGCACTACATATACAGTAAATCCAAAGTGTATTTAGTGTAAAAATGTTTTGAGTATGCATTAGATGAAGTGGGAATTAGGTGGTTTGTTATGGGTGTATGAAGACCTCAGGTTTACACACGTAACCACAGGTGTAGTTCACCATCATCACATACACTTTACAATCACAAAATGTCCATAATACTAGTGTATACACAATACACATACAGGTCCATTTAAATGTATTATTCACATAATTTTTTACCTATTATTTTAGTACTTCAAATGTTTTGCTTGTACAGTTTATTTTACAATTCAATTAATTTAAATAATATAATTGAATATAATTATAAATATCTAAAATATATATTTAAGAAATATTAAATTAAAATAGGAGAATTTTAATTATAATTCAAATATAATAAATATTTTCATGAAACAATTCAAAAAATGCCTTTGACATTTTAAACGTATGTTTTTAACAAAAAATAATATTGATATTCTTTTATAAATGAATGCAATAATATTCGTGCATAATTAAGTGTTTATACTTTCTGGAGCCACTGCACCCTTAATTACACACTTTCTAAAGTTAGATCCTCTTTTGCCCCAAGAATAGCTAGAATTGTTAGTGGCATGGATTCAACAAGGTGCTGCAAACATTGCTTCAGGCTTCAGGTTGGTGAGGTTACTCTTGACTGTGCATTTTTGCTATATAATTATTGCTATATAATTAGTTTGAAAGGTTCACAAATACACCAGGGGGTACATTAAGATGAACAAAGAAATAGTAAAACCAAAAGATAGAATTAAATATTATTATGTGACCCTGGGACCACAAAACCAGTCATAAGTGTCAATTTTTTTATTTATTTACACCATCTGAAGGCTGAATAAATAAGCTTTCCATTGATGTAGCCTATATGGTTTGTTAGGATTTGACAATATTTGGCCGAGATACAACTATTTGAAAATCTGCAATCTGAGGGTGCAAAAAAAAAAGAAACAGAACATGATCTTCACTTAATATCCTAATGATTTTTTGGCATTAAAAAAAATTGATAATTTTGACCCATACAATAGGCTATATTTTTGGCTATTTCTGCTACAAATATACCCGTGCTACTTAGGACTGGTTTTGTGGTCATATATATATATATATATATATATATGTGTCACAAATATTACAGTATTAACATTTTGCAGCTTTCTTATTTATTTATTTCACTTTTTTAGATATTGCTGAACGTCTGAGTTTAAAATTTTAAAAATAAAGGCTTATTTCCCTGAGAATTTACAGTTAAGCCTATAATATACTAAATTTAACCATCACAAATAGCAGATTATTTAAATAGGCTAATATTCCTTGTGAAAAGACACAAGTGAAGAAACCCCATATAACATTTCAAAACACAGTTGAAAGCTGAGCTAGTTCCTTAATAAATGAACAGAAATATAGCCAAAAATAAACCGAATGATGAAGACTCGTTGTTTATGCAGCATAATTAAACGGCTTTTTGCCGACACGCAATTGGCAGAATACATACTAGCGTTACTTGTAGTCTTCCTATATTTGTGCGGTTGTAATCTTAAATTTAGCGTTCAAACTAGTTTATGGTGATAAGTAGTAATCCCACAGTATTCTTCGAAGCACTATCTGCTACCAGCTGCTGCCAGGGTTGCCAGGTTTTCACAGCAAAACCCGCCCAATTGCTTCTCAAAACTAGCCGCAGGCGAGGGGAGAAACCGCGGACTTGGCAACACTGGCTGCCGCCGCTAAAACCGGAGCGAGAGGGCGGCAGTCTGCGTCTCCATGGCGACGCACTGTTTTTGTTAACACGCGCGTGAGTCAGAGCAGCAGTGAGTCACAGTCAGGAGGAAATTCTCTCTGTTCTCGATTCACACAACCACACACTCTCACCGAAGCCAAATAAGGACAACAGCTCGGAGAGAGAGACGGGAAATCTGTCCTGTCAGTGGCCGGCTGCGAGTTTGTGAGT